ACAGATTGATTTCATGAGAAAATAAGTTTAGGTCACGGGCAAGGTTTCTTCAACAGAACGGTATCTTAAATTAAAAGTTGGTTCTGAATCGTAATATTAATGTAAGATATATATATATATATAAAAGTGTCAGCAAGTCCTGAATTCAGTAGGCAGTGAACACAGTCTGTTAGGGTGGTTATATTTGTCAATCAGATTTTTGTTACATGTTTCAACATATGATGCATTGACCTGGAATTAAATCAGTCAGTCCTCCTATTTGCTTGATGAGTGTAGAGCTGCGCAATGTTAGATTATGATGTATGATGTGTCACTGATCACAGGTTCCTTAGTCCAGAAAATAAAAGGCGTCTATCGGTTAACCGGCTCAAAACATGAACTAGATGATGGACAGAATGAATTCTAATCAATCTGCAATTCAGGTGTAAATAAAAATCAACAAAAACTAAAAAACTAAATAGAAGATTATCACTACAAGCCAGGCTTCTACAAGTCTATAAACGTGACACCTGGCAGTCTTTAAAAGCCACTTCTCATTCAGAATAAACTGAGAAGTGGCCTGTTTATGTCCGTATCGGGATCCTGGGAGCACAGTGACCCTGTTAACTAAAGGGCTGATCCCACTCTGCCTCAGTCACTTATTTAGCTCGCTAACATAAGAATCTAGTATCATGAGTCAACCCACTGAGCAACAGTGTACCTAAAAGAATACAATCACATGTCTAACCTGATGCAAAATGAGGTCCTCTTCAGGAAACAGCTCTTCACAAAACTCACAAGGCAGCATGGTATCTATAAAAATAATTAAAAATCATGAACAAACTCACAGTATAATAACTTTAAGTATTAAAATTAACACTATTTTGCCATTCACCTGTTTGATCAAGGTCCTGGACTGCACTTGTGCTTGTGCCTGAAGTGAAGTTTGGGTAGTTGTTGTTGGGCTGAGGGAATGGAGAGTTTAGAGAAGTGTTGGGCGTCTTCCCGATCTTGTGGTCCCAGATACCGCTCCACAGGTTGCCCTCTACGCCTCCAGCCACTGATTCTCCGTCACTCTGCAGACTGAGCGCCAACATGTAGTCCAGGCCTGATGAATCCTCATCCAGTGTGAGCTCACTATGTGGCCATGCACTACTGCCGCTGCTAGACAGGAAATCACTCTGCCCCAACACTGCAAGAAATAATAATTATACAGTTATATCCAAAAACAATTCTAGCTGCAAGTGGCAGTACAGCGACTTAGTTCTTGTTAAGTACAGAACATTTTTTATTGCTGGTTAAAGTTGTAATACACAACATGTGCAATGTGTTTATTGGCCCTCTGTTTGGGACCACCACAGCTTTATATTCAGCCTGCTAAATGTCTCTATTGATATTAATATAAGATATTTTTCAGGATGTATCTACTGCGTGTATTCTTCCTGCTAAACTAATTTGACAAAGATTGCCTTAAATAAACTTTGAGAGTAACATTTACATTTTTGTGTTACAGACTCAAATTGTGGGCGTGTTTTTAACAATAACTAAAGATTACGTGATACTATAAAAGAGTTTAAGACATCCTGTGGTGTTTTTGACCAGTAGTAGACGTATGGAGCAAGGTTTTTGCAAGTGGGTCCCCATTTTGTGTGTTTGTGATACACATTCCTGCTGCTGGTTTCACGCTGTTCCACCGATAGACAGTTAGTGGCAGTAACACACGAAGAAGCACAACGACGCACCCACAAAGGCAGTAAAGAAGAAAACAGCTGGCAACAGAAGATGTATGTAAACAATGCACACTAAAATATCATTAATGTACAATTAAAATCCACTTTACAAATGTTCTAGGGGGACGCAAATGAGTTTGAAACCTTGTGGATAAAAACAATGTGCTTTAGTAAGAAACACTAAATGTAAACATTTTGTTTGTTTACAAGAAGACTCCACAGTGCCCCTTTAAATAGATTTTACAGTTCTTTAAAGATACATTGGTACATTTTTGCCCAATAGATAATTAAGCCTGGTGGACACTTTTTCCCCCCACAGGAAATGAAATAATCAATAAACTCACTGTGGCTAAATGCTGTATTTCTTGGGGCGGTATTCTTCCAGTCTGCTGAGTCCTGTGTTCCCTTTGAAGTGTTATAATCTCTGGGATCAAATGGCCGGGGAAAGGCCTGTTGTTCTGCCGCACTGATGTTATTATTCTTCGGGCCTCTCTCTTGGGCTCTTAGGAGGTTTCGGATGGTGTGGGCTTCGAACCACGGTCCTGGAGACTGCTGGTCTACTGGACTGCGACTTGTCCGGCTGTTGTTCCTCTCTTGGGGCGGTGTAAGGCTTCCACATAAGACGGGATGCACAGCTTGTTCCCTCAACATTACATTGCATTTACAGCGTGAGCAGGGCTCAGTGCGTGTACCGCAATAATCTTCATGTTCTTTGGACTGGCTGTAAACGATCTCCAGCTCACAGTATTGGCAGGGGACCAGCCGCTGAGAGCATTCGGAGCTCTGAAAGAGACGACAATCGTAAAGAAGCACAATATGAAGATTTAAATCAAGATGGTTAAATATTAGAGTTATAAATAGGGAAGGAAAAAGTTAATCAGAAATACCTGGTGAACATCAACGTGATTCTTCTCAATCTTCGAACCACATTTGCATGTAATCTGAAATTAAAAGAAACGTTTAACGTTGCAATCATCCAATCTCAGTCTGACATTCAAAAGTTCCCTCCAGCGAGTCTTGTGTCTTTGTAATTAAGATAAGATAAGATAAGACACAATGGGGAGGAATTGCAGTTTGCACAGCATACAGAAAAGGAGAAGATAAAAAACAACAGAGCAGAATAAAAAGAGCAAAGAGTAGCTTATAAAAGATAAATAATGAAAAATTAAAAAGAATAGCATTACTGTTATAACATGGACACTTGACAAATGAAAGAGGGTACTTATACTAGTATATACAAGTCACAGTTCACTAGTTCCTTGGTTTGGGACAGAATAACTAATAGCTGTTCCAGGCTGTGCAAATAACACACTTTTTCCCACTTTTTGGTATTAGTCCTGCCCTAAAAGCAGCACACATCTGTGGCAGGAGTTATGTTTTAGTCTCCAGCACTGCTGTTCAGATGTTTACCTGTGTATGCTCCTGCTGTTTGTGCTCCTGGAGGTCTGACCTGGGCACTGGCTCCTGGCACACATCACACAGTGCGATGTTTCTTCTACAGTGGATCTCATGGGTAGTAAAATTAGCCTCCGGTATGTCATGTTTGCTGAAAGAAAAAAGAAGAAAAAAGGTATATAAAATGATAAAAAACCTTCCCATTAAATTCAGGGATCATATAATGCACTTTATTTTACTTACCAATTGCCACAAAACTGTGTATTCTCATCCGCCATGGCTTTATCCATTAAGCCTGTGGAGAAAGTGAGTTATTAGTGACACAAACCAGCTTGCAGGCACCGACATTTAACCAGTTTACGTGATGTTTACTAATGTTTATAACAGGTAAACATGCATCTCATATAGTCACAGAAATGAGTTAATCGGCTAGTTTAGCGAGTGGCATCTAGTTATCAAACTACACAACTACAAATCAATCGACACAGCATCGCGAATCAGTATAACATTAGGGATGCAGGAGGCTACCGCTTTCGTTAGCAGATACAAACTGGTTGACAGCTCTTTCGGTTTTGCTCACCCAGTGTTTTCAGGCAGGTAGCTAATGTTAGCGGACAACGCTGGCCTGGATTAACAATCAACGTTACTCAACAAGCATCTTGAACCACCTCGAAAGAGTCGGTACACGGTTCGTCTGCCGTGTGTGCGCTTCAACTAGCTTCGCAGCATTAAATCCACCACCACGTAGCGTTAATTCAGCTAACCTAACTTTATAAAGCTCTTTACGAAGAAGCCCAGGAGAAAAAAAAAAAAAAAAANNGGATTCGGTTCGGCAGTTGTTCGGGGTTTTTTTTTTTTTGTTTTTTTGGAGGAGGGCTGCTGCCCGGTACGAGCAAAACGAGGACAACCGCTGTGATGTTACCGTTTGTCAATTAATTATCCGCTGAAGAATCTATTTTCTAAAAGAAACCCGTAGACGACAGATAACTACTTGATGAAAGCCTGAATAAAAAAAAAAAAACAGTTCGCTATTTCCTCCTTGGTCTGTTCAGCGCCTGATATTAAATCCCCGAGTCAGGTCTGTCAGGCTGTCTACGTACGTATCCACCCCGCCTCCGTTCACACTGGCACAACTAAAGGAAATCCCACCGTAACAAGTTATAATATTGCACCTATTGTAAAATACGTTAATCGGACCGGTGATTTGTTTGTGTAAGGGGCGTTTATGTTATCTAGGTTAAGGGTGGAAGCTCACTGTAAGTCCAACCTCAGGGGGAAATGCCCACGCTCCCCCGTCAGGCTCGAATTTGATTGGTTGATGAAACATCGTGCGCTTGGAAAACGTCTCGGGTGATACCAACCGCTTTAAATTCCGATTAAATATCCGATATTACCAACACGTCTTCTAAAATTGGGATAAATGTGTCAAAATATACACATTATTAACCTTATGCGTTTATACATCCATGGTTTAAGCAAGAGCTCCGACTCCCGTTATCTTGTCCTTCAACTTCCGGTGTGCACCGGAAGTTGTAATGTGTTCGTTGTGTAGTTTCACATCCAAGCTTGTGATCTCCTTATTTCCATGTTTGTGCCTACAAATTAACAAATATCTGAACTAGTTTTCATTAATATGACACACGGCGGGAATGACAAACTCCAAATTGTATTATCAATAAATTATATATTACATAATTGGGTGATGAGTTGTGTTCCAATTCATATTTTTAAATCAGCTTCAAGACCAACAAAGCAAAAATCAATGTCAAAAATAATATCTGAAGTTATCAGTAGTAGTTTTAGTACTAGTAATAGTAGCAGTATTACTAGGCTGTGTGAAACAACCAGCAATAGTGACGGAAAGTTTCAAAACAAAACCGAAAATGGAACTTTAAAAAAAAGGGTGAGTCACATAAGGTAAACACCGACTACACAAACTGCAATACAATATATAACAATATAAACTCATGAAATATATACTTAAACAATCTTTAATAAATATGCTAGCAACTGTGTTATGTTTTTAAAAGGAAACTCGAGTGCAACAATCAATGCTTCACTGTTGATCCACAAGTCTGCACATTCTTCCAGACATTACACATGAAATGAAAATAAACACAGCAGTCTTTTCAGTGTTTATTGAGTTTTTGATCTACCAATACTGTCATATCAGACATTTTCATGTTTCTAAGGCACAGTTTTGTTCAGATAAAACACTGATCTTATTTACAGCAAACGTTTGGACGCAGTACATACATCCTCACAGTCAAAATTACCACTCAATGATTGGACCATTATTGTAAATATATAAAACTTTTAAATCATTTCAAAGCCCTTGTTTCTTCTTTGAAACGTTAAATTCCACCATTTTTTTTTACAATGTAATATGAAATGTAACTCCATGCCAAAAGTTTAAAAACAAAATTGTGAGAAAAAGTAATACATTTCCAAAATATGTGACGAGATTAAAAAGGAAGGACTAGTGATATATTCAAATAAAATCTTTAAAATAACTCCGTCTTTCAAATTATAGTGATATGCCTGTAGATTATTAAATTAATGGGAAGCAACTTGAGGGCCTAAAAGTGGATAAATCACATTTCAAGTGAATGAAACGTTTTTCACATTGTTCTTAAAAAGTGATTACAAAATGAACACTTTGCTGCAGCCAATCACATCGGTTGGTTCCTGGTGATGCATCGAGTTATCTAACAGCTCCTAATTGGTTACATGATTGTCTAATATATATTTAGGTCCAACGTGAAAGACCGATTCCCTTGTTCAAAGTTTGCCAAATGAAACATTCATCAGGAAAAGTAGCTGCATTAGTTTGTAAAATGATGGCAGTACAAACAGCCCCGCTGTTGTAGTCAAGAGTTAAGCACAGGAAATGAGCATGATACATGCACCAACAAAGACATTTGTGAAAAAATGACATACATCTTAGGTCCCTCATCCTTATTGTCCACAGGTACAATGGTTATTTCTCTATTTCCAATCTCCAGGGGGAAATATGTACTTAAAAAAAATGAGTACCAGCATTTAAAGATCAAATATGCAGGTTTCCACAATTAATCTGAACCACAGAAATGAACTAAAATGACAGTAAATCTAAAAAAAAAAATCACATTAGGCTATTTTTGCTGTTGACAGGGTGATTGATCTATTATACAACTCCTTCATGGGGCCATGATTATAAAAGCTTAATTAAAAATAATTATCAAGCAGATTAAAAGTATCACTGGAAGCAACACATCTTGCATTTTACTATCTTAATTACGAAAAAATAGCTGGAAAATGTGCAAAACACAATATTGCATTACTAAATTGAAATAGCTATAATGCAGTCAACGGTAGGGCTTTTTTTGTTCACGGGGCAAGAACAAAGGCATCTCACAATCACTGCATGTCTTCACACATAACTGTGTCAAAGAGCATGTCAATAGGAAGCATGTAAGCATACGTGGGCTATCCGAAACACCCAGCTTGTGACAGAGAGCTTTATACTATATATCGGTGTATCTGTGCCTGCCTTTACGTTAGACAAAAAATACCATCCATACACACTTGTATTGTAACAAGTAGGTGGAAAGTAAACCGTTTTCTTGCCATCTTTTCTGTTACTCTCCACTGTACGCTAATGGCAGACATTTAAAAAAAAAAAGCTAAAATTGTGATATTTGGTCAGTCACTGTAATTACAATAGCTAAAAGTTAACAAAAAGGAAACTGCCTATCAATAACTAAACGTGTTTTAAACACAATCAAAACACTCTTCTCTTAACACTTAAACACTATACGCCAACATATGAAGGAGAAAAAAAGAGAGCTGGTTTTCACTTTAACTTCCAAATGTCCTTGGTCCAATATAAAATTCAGTAGGTTGCTCTAAAAGAGTCGTTAACCACAGTCTTGTGAAAAAATATTCTTACTACACTATTTTATATGATCTAGTGGCAAAATGGAAAAAAGGGCTCAAAGACAGCATAAAAGACAACAGAAAGAGTAAGAGGAAAAGTACAGTACAGACATTGTTGAAATGAAAGGAAGAAGGCACAGATTGTAAGAGTTGAGACTAGAAGTCATAGAGGTAGCAGAGGTCACAGAGAGGGACAAAGGAGAAAAAGAAACTGTTAAAAAAGGGGGAGATGTGTGGTGAAATGTCTATCTGTCCTTGGATCCAAGCTTCTCGATCAAGTCCTGCAGGGGAGCGAGCTCTCGCCTGTCGATGAGGTTGAACTCCTACAAAGAGAGAAACACCATCAGATTGGTTATTTAGGTTTGGTGACATTTTTCAATTGTAGTAGTTGATAGACGGTGCAGTAGCATTGACATGTGTAAAGGCTCAATGCAATGCTTAACACTCAATGAAGTTAACTTACAACAAAAATAATTTATCACGCCACAATCCTCCTGCCATGTCAAATTCTCTTGAACCCCTTGTTCAAGTAACGGGTTTTTGGCTTTCATGCATCTTCATCTCAGGTCTTATGAAAATGATCCATGTTGATTCTGTTCAAACATGACAGGACTGTTGCAGATGGAGCCTTAATGTTTGGCATCTGGCATATAGTAGACAAAGACTTGCAGGGCGTTATGTACGTATATTATGTACACGTATATATATTATGTATGTATGAAACAAGAGACACATCCTGTTAAGATGTGGCAGTATCTTGTTTTTATCTTGTTCTTAGCACACGGAGAGAGAGGAGTTATTTTATGTCTTATCAGTGTTGGATCAATTTCAGTTCTTTATAACCAAAATAATGTAGCTTGTGAAGGCTTTCGCTTCTGAGTCACATGTGCTGCTTTGAAACTGATCAATGAGCTGATCAAGGAGCAGCCTTTAAAGCTTTATTCCTAGTCCTACTTTCATTGGGTTACACACTGTATGCACATCATACATAAAGCTGTCATTATCTTATAGTTAGAGAGCCATATAAGAAAAAAAATATTACGAGCAGGCAGATTTCCAGAGCAACTTTTATGGAAAAATGACTCAGGTCTCCTGGCAGCCTTTTTCGACATTTGTGGATCAAATGGAAACCGAAACAGTAACCCTATAATACGTGCGAACTTCTTATTTGTGTTGTTACATATGTTCTTTCTGTCCCTGCTATATCCATTTACATGACTCACCTTATCAACAAGTACGCAAAATGACTGTTTTTGATTTCGTGGTACAGGTCTGGTGGGTGGGGGGTAGTGACTACAGGTTAGTTATTGTTAAAAAAAAAAGGTCTCCTTTTTAAGCATGTATGGATTACAGGACATGTCTGAATGTCCCTTAAACTCTACATTGTAGCAGGATCAGCTCACCTGAACAAAGAAAATGAAGTGCTTGAAGGAGGTGTTGAGGTGGGCCTCCTCCTGCAAGCTGCATCACAGAGTCAAAATGTTTGTAGTAGATGTGGAGCGTAACCCTGAATCAGATCGATTCAGGGATGGTTTTGGCCACAGACATGAAGTTCTTCGGAAAGGGAACTCCTGTGGGACAGAAGGTGGTGGAAAATGCTGATGTCAAGAGAAGAGCATGTGCTGTTTCAACCTCCACTAAGCCTAGCAGCCAACATCAGTGTGAGACTGAAGTTTATTAAGATGCTTTAGCTTAGTTGCTTAATCAAAACTCTGGTGTGGCGTGGAGAGAAGCAGAAAAGTCTTTATTTAAATAGTGTTTTATCCTCTCTGAGTTTTAATGTGACGGTTTAACATCAACATAAAAAGGATTGTAGTTCTTTTCCTTAAACTTTAAGGGACCAAATGAATTTTTAACACAAACTTTAGTCAAAGTCATAAGATTTTGCATTCTG